CTGAAAAAAAACATTATCCGAATTTTCTTGTTACGCAAATTGGAATTGCTCTCGTGGGGCAATTTGCGCTTCCGGCCCTCCCTGCCCCTCAAACACTAGCAGTTCTTCAACTGCTCGGTGGAAGCTCGTGACTTCCACTACCGATAAGTAGACGAGTATACAAGTGCTGAATTAAGTTACTAGCTTGTAATCGTGCTAGAGTGAGATAAATTGCTTTCAGAGCAACAATCCATCGCTAGTGGCCGTTACTTGCAAGGTGATAAATCACACTTGAACTGTCATACATGAGTCGGGTGTTTGAGGTTTCCCTCTTTACATTTCTCCCTGTGTGTGTGGCTCCGTGTGTGGCTCCGTGTGTGTGGCCGTCCGTCGACCCCCGATTTTCGTTAGAGCCGTCATCGCCGATTCTAGTACGTATTAAGTTTCACAGGTTTTGTTTACTTCCACCCAAATCGAAATCCGGAGGTATTTTGTGTGATTGGATTAAACAGGTTCAATAAAATTACAGGAGTAATCGTGCGTGATCATATTAAAGAGATATTAATTTCCAAGTTTAGGAACTATGGAGGAAACCAAACCTCTGGATGAAAAGAGGCGAAAAATTACCGAATCCAATTCGATCCAAGTAATATTGATAAATATGCTTACACTTAGTAGCACTGGCACTGATGAAGGATTTTGACTAGGCGCCAACCGTACTTGCCACTGACGCGCAAGTGACTGGTAGTGAATCGGACAGAGATATTGTTACACCACGCCCAGCCAATTGCATCCAAGTAATTCTTACTGTTGACAAATACCATTACAATCAGTAATATTTAACAAGGTCTTTGTTTAGGCTTTACCTGTACCTACCACCGATGACTGTATGACTGAACCGATGACAGCGATGGTTACATCAGCACTCGACGCATCACGGACTCTTGACGAGGAGAAAGTGCGACGCCGCAAAGAAACTAACAGACTTCGAATGGCTTCTCGGCGAGCCAATCAACGTTCAACTGAATCTCCGGATGATCGGCGCAAACGACTAAGCGATCAAAGTACTCAACAAGCAAGGTGTCGAAGCAAGGAGTCTCCAGAGCAGCATTACATTCGCTTACAGAAACTTACAGAAACTCAAAGAAAAGCGTGATATGGAATCCCCCACGATGCACGCTGTACGCCTACCAAAGCTAAAGACGAAGCGAGATATGGAATCCCCCGAGCAGCACTGGGCTCGATTGGATAACCTGAAAGCTCAGCGTATCATGGAATCTCCAGACAAACGCGCGAGCCGTTTTAGCAAGCTCCAAGCAAAGCGGCAGTTGGAGTTACCTGAAGATCGCGGCATTCGATTGAATGCATTGAAAGCTCAGTACTCAGCTCAAACTGCGGAGGCACGATCGAATCGTTTGGGCTACCTTAAGGCGCAACGGAAGGCTTTGCATGTGTCTGAAAGCGTCGAAGAACGGGAAAGACGACTTGAACGCCGGCGACAAGGACTTCATCGCGTTCAAGAAGCTAAGAGCAACAATGTAACGGCCTCAGAAGCACAATGTGATGCACTGGACGACGCTGGCTTTTTACGATTGCAAGGACATTTAAATTTAATT